TTTTTGTTACCCAAGTATCGTATGTGTACAGAAGAAGACAGGCTATGTACCGCGACTCTCCTTTGCTAGGAGTTCATCTCTGCCTTGACTCGGAAGGAAGTATCAAACTCGGTGACGTAGTTTATGCCGCATTGGAATAAAAATAGTATTTAAGAAATTTTTGGGTTGAAATATTAAGCTTTGTTGACGTTTTACTTTTATCTATTGTCGTTTTACAGTATAATTTCAGCCGCCTTACTCACAATATAACTAATGATGACCAATAATGCGATATGAAAACAACGACCAGATATCAATGTAAAGGCTGTTCGTTGTAGATATACATATATACGAGTTTTTTTATATCTTATGCGCGTGATAAATTTGACTTAATTTCCTGGTCAAGTGCATATCACGGGTTGTAAATGGCAGTTACGAAGATTAAACAGCATATCTCACAAACAGTAGTTACCGAAGTGGAAATGAAATGACAACAAAGCAGATGAACACTACACTACACTACGCTACGCTACGCTACATTACACTACAGGCAAATGACATTGATGTTTTATTGTATTTGTCAGCAGCCCTTATTATATGTTTTTATCATATTACCGCAAACCCTGCAAATAGAAGTGTGCATGGAATCATGGGAAGAAACAGTGTGCATTGCCGTGTGATAACTGTTATAAAGGTGATTGACAGGTCATACTTGTTTTCAACTCTGGAAGGACAGTTGGAATGTACCAGGTGTGCTTGTGATTTACATAACAAACGGTGTTTACAACTTTGGAAGGACAATTGGAATCTACCAGGTGTGGTGTTATTTGAATAACAAAAGATGTTCATGATCTACTGAGGTGCCTATGTGACACAGCTGCAAGCAAGATCACATTATTATTGGCTCATGTAGAAACCCAGGTGTTGTCACTGAATCTGGGCCATTTATGCCTATAAATTGGACAGACTGGGGACAGTTGGGGTCCATCATTTCAACTTCGTATCCTGTGTGTTGCTGCTATGATATTGTAAGACAAGTGATGCAGACTTCAGCCATCATTCTGTGAGAATTGTATGAACTGCTCTGCATGCCTCTGCAAGCAAGACTCCTCTATTTCTTTGTTGTTGTGTTGCAGAAGTCATTGACTCTCGTCCATTTCTACATCCTGGAACTGTGAGTTATCACCAATGCACACTTTATTTATTTATTGTATTTTCTGTGCTTTATTTCTTGTAATTATTTTGAGAGGTATTAAGGCTTTTACTCGATATTTTGTTGAATGTGTAATTCATTTCCAGTACTATTGTCGTGTCTACCCCATTCTAGCAGTGAACGAGTCCACTGTAAGTTCAGTGGATGGCTCTCTCAATTGCGATAAACAGGCCTTACAAGCAATTTAGGTTGCCAAACAACCTTTTGAATGTTAAAGCCAGTAGTTTTCCACAAAACCACTTGTTCAATAGTTTTGATGAAAAGAAATAGTGTTTCTTTGAAAGTCTGTATATTTAATACAGGCCCTGGCATACTGATTGAGCTCTAAATTTATAGGTAACTGCAGAATACGGTCGACAACAATACCATTTGACCAGCGAGAATGGGTTGGTCTCCAACCAAATAGAAGTGAGAGTGAAATAGTATTATTATTATCACTATTAAAACATTATATATATATATATATAACAATGCTTTTAGAAATTTTTGAAATACCCTTATGATTGCAGTGTTAGTACAATATGTGTTGTTAATCGAATACACACATTTCTATCAAGTTTGTCTTAATAGAAAGTTAGTATCAATATTTACTCTAAAATATATAATAGTGACATACGTTGAAAGTCACAGTTGGTGCAGTACTGGAATATCCTGATTTTTTTATTTTGTAGCATAAACTTAATGAATGTGTTGCATTATTACTAATTTTTTTTCTCTTATTGTTTTGTAAGTTATTTAATATGGACTCTGTCTGAAATAAATAAATAATAATTAATATATGAGAAATATAGATTTGCAAATTTACTCAACTAACCCTATGAAGTCAGTTTTCAGTATTAATACTTTGTTCAAAATGTAATACATTATTTACAATTTTATCCATTGAACAGTACTTTTTAGAATATTGTTTATAAATAGTCATGACTCTAAATACGATACAATATCGCGGGATTGGGGAATTCCAGCTTCCTGCGAGATATCGTTTGGAGCCACATTGGATCATTTAAAACCAACGCTGTCTGGCGAGCCAGGTTATTTGCCGCCGATTTTAATATTTCTCTGTGTATTTTATAACTTAATTGCTATGGGCATTGATAAGTTCCTGAGCTGAAACGCGGCCGACGTCGTTCGAATAATAATATAAATAAATTTTAAGCAAAGAAGAAATGACGGTTTCTAATTTTTTTTTGAAAAATGTAACAACGAAAGCACGAAGACATTACAGCGGTAGTATCGACCGACGCGCAGCGGAGGTCGATGCGACGGCGTAATGTCTGAGTGCATACTTTGCGGTATCATCTTAATAAACTTATTATTATACCTTCACCCCCCAAGGATACATCATGGAAATGCCGAAATCCAAAAAGTTTAGAACAGATTTAGTGAACTTTGTGTGGAGTCCAGTCAAACCCTGGGGCTGCCATGTTTTTTTAATTATTAGAGAATGCTCGCGCGCATAATCGCTCCATATTTTGAATTCGCATTTCCTTATATGGTAGGATGAAAATACCCAGTGCAATACCGCAAAATTACGGAACGCTATAACTTATGGCGTTACGCTGACAGATGTAATAATAACTATTATGCATTGTTTTATTTTTTTATGTAAAATAAAAACGACATTATACGACATTATACGTTATATGTTCATTCCACAAATAAATATTAAAGAATACGAAAAATTTTAAATTTTAAAAATTACATTAACAATTCAGTACTGAATACATGTATATAAAAATATCAAAATATTTACTGAAATTTAAAAGCCCGAAAGTGGGTAAAAAAGTTACTCTCAACAATCTTGAATGGAGTACCATATATGATAAATCGTGAACATTATATTGTTTATCTGGTTCGATATAATAATATTAGTGAAAGGAAATGACGTCATCACAAGTGTGTATTCATAATCCACAGAGATGACAACTTATTCGCCGCAAAAAGATTTATAACGTTTTGTTTCCATCAACCACTAAGTTGTTGTTGATCAGCAAAGTAATAGCGACAATTCCCATCGAATGTGACAACTAGCAGTTTGCATGTAACATGTGAATACACATACTGCATTATCATATTTTCTTGAATTAACCATGTGTGTATACATTTCGGCGTATCTCCGACTCAGACGGGGGTTTCACATAACTGTACACAGGTCATATGTTGATGGGGAAGAAAATAAAAAGACAATTAGTATTAACACTATTGAATATCTATCATCTTATAAATTATCGCGATTTTCGGTTTAACGATTTGACTAATATCTGGAAGTAATACGAGATATACATTGAAGCAAAAACACAAGACATTCAAATAATATACGCGTCGGATAAAATAGACGTCGAGCGCGACTAAAATGACGAATATCTCCAAAAGATGAGTACACATGTGAATAATACTAATTACCGTTTTATTTGATGTTGAAACATCCGATCGTATGTTCTTGCTCACGCTATGACTGTTGTAAAAATTATATAAATAACATTATTTATATAAAATTATATTTGATATGTTTTTACACAATCAATTACACTTCGTAATTTGTGACGAAATATTAACTCCAGCCATGAATTAAAATGGTGTTTCAGAAGAGGGATGTTCAGAATGTAATTTTTAAGAACTGCATATGCAGAACAAAATACAAACACATTTGTAAAATTTGTAAAAACAAAATAACACAAACTGTCAACTATAAATGGTTATACAACCAAACGACAAAAATAATTTTAAATCGGCAACGGAATAACCACATTGCCTACCTTGTATATGTCTGCATTACACGTGTTTCTTCAACTGATGTGTCTGGTCCCGATATAGCATTACACGTGTTATCGAGCACGGTTTTTGAATGTCTTGTTTTCCCGCGTTTATGTCTATGGAGTGATCTAAACATTGGCCGCCCGCCTATTTCAAACTGGCCAGCGCCCAGATATCGCTTTCGGTGACTTCTCATCCATAGCCTGGTGAATGAAGCTGGCATTAATAAGATAATGTATAGCGACTGTAGTGACAACAAATAGTTTGAAATGCACAATTAATCCTTTGAACGCCATATTTCACACCAAATTGTTGGTACATATTTTTCTATATTATTGAACACGAAATACGAGTCGGGATATGGTTGCCATTTCATCCACTTTTCCAAATTCATGGGTTACTTTAGTCATTTGACCATAAGTACCTCATCAAAATTGATGGG